AGTGCACTTTTTACTCTTTTTTTACGCTTTTTACTCTTTTTTTACACTTTTTTACGCTTTTTACTCTTTTTTTACACTTTTTTACGCTTTTTACTCTTTTTTTACGCTTTTTTTACACTTTTTACTCTTTTTTTACGCTTTTGTTTTAATAATTTTTTACTCAAAAAAAATTTTAGGCTGAGTAAATTTCCCCCTGAATAGGACAAGTAGGAATATCTCCTCTTGATACAGACTCATTCACCATAAATAGTGAATAAAATAGGAATAAGAAGAAAAAGAATACAAAGAATATATTTATGACAACGATGTGAAAAGAATCATCATCAGTAAAAGGCATAAAATTGGAACTGAAATGTATGGAAGGAGTATGTCTGTGTCTGCCGCATCATATTATTATAACAAATGATGTAAGAATTCATGACAGAGGAAAAAAATCAATTTTATTTGAAAGGAAAAAGAGAAAGATTTCAAATAAGAAGAAAAGAAAATTTAGAGATAAAAAGCAATAAAATGCTTCCTTTAATGCCAAGAAAACAAAATCACATTATTATGAAATCTCTTTTTATCCTTCAATGTCGCCAATTGAAAAATGTCGACTCTATATCCTATTGTAGGAGAAAATTGGAACTGTTACTAAATCGGCAGATTTATTTAAATCATCTTTTGTGCATTGAATTCAAAATGAAGATTTCCTGACCCAAATTGAATATTTCATTAATAAATAAAGTTTCATTTATCCTGTAAAGGTTTAATCTCTTTGTTGTTTGTTTGCTCATCACAACTCACTCGTATTGTATGCATACAGATAAAGGAATATAAAATTTCATCGAGGAGGTTTGTAAGAAAAAGCTTTTCAATATGGACTCAACTATAAATACAAACTAAGCTCTAATAATTGACCTATCCTTAGGTTTACATAGTATTTTCTAAAATTCTATTAACATCGATTCTATCTTCTATGTTTTCCTTTCAGCTCATTGTTACGAAATTAAATAGAATGGAAAATCACATTACGCAACTATCGAGAAATAGAAATGTGTCTAGCAGACATTTCAACTTGTTATATTTTTATACTTTAGCGAATGGTATGTCATCCCTCAAAGTCAAAAGACCCCACAAATAAATAAATTGTTTTTTTTTGAAAGAGTCTAAAAGTACATAAAAGCTTTTTCATTTCGCTTTTCTTCTTTCTTAATTTTTTGCGTATATTTAGCAGGGTTGATGGATTCACTCAGCTGGAAAGTTTTGCTTTGATGCCTACAAAATATTTTTTCACGCAATTTTTTCTTATTGGTGATTTTATTTTTGTTATGAGAACTATAAATAAATTTGGGATTTTATTTGACATGAGAATTTGAAGATGGGTTTAAAAACATAAAATAATATGAATTTTCCCCAAGCCACGTAACATATCTTGTCTGAAATTTTATTTTTTTCTTCTTTTAAAAAATGCCAATAATTCTAATATGAAAACTTCGCTCTGAAGTTCAATCCCTGTGTAAAGACAAATTGAGGCATTAAATATACAAGACGAAAAAGACTATAAAAATAAATCCGATATGCTCTGTGAAATGAGCATATTCCATGTATGAGCAATGGCAGTTCGCTTCTTCCTCTTCTTACATTCTGAAAAAATATTTTTTTCTGACTCTATCGATCCAATATACCTTGCCAACAAAATGTGAAATAAAAGTCGCTCTCTAGTCTATGTGACAGAGGAATACTGAAAACTTCCACCTATAACTTAAATATCAATATAAGGGTGTGAGAACGGGGGCATAAAAAAATGCAGGATGCAGAATTTTTTTTGTTGTGAAATAATGCAGTAGGAATTAAGAAATAAAGATGATATTTCCCGATTGTTCATGAGGATAAAGCTTTTATCTGAAAAAATATTGAACCAATTTTGATCTTTGTAAGCAGTAATTTTTTTTTGCTGATGGCAAATATTTTAAATCAAAAAAATATTTTTATATCCAATACAATTGTTGCTATATTTCCGACTGCTGCTGTATCTCACCAAAATGCCAAACAAAATTCATGATAAATTCATCAAATTTCTACCACACTACCCTACATATTTCACTGCATGGCATGATTAAAATGTTAAAAGTTTAATGAAATAATTGATGTGATAAAATAATAACTAATTATTGCTCCCTTCCTGTAATTAATTACGAAGGCAAATTTCATATTCAATTGACCTATGATGTCAACTTTAATGTATGAAAATAAGGATTTTTTTTAAAATGCATACAGGATGGACAAAAAAGGTTGAATCAATTTCTTAATTCCCAACGACTGCAAACAAAGAAAACTTCAGTTAGATTCAAAAAATTCAAACTGAAATTCCAAAAATTTCGAACTGTTTCGAACTATTAAATTTTTTAAAAAATAAATGATCGTTAGGGAATTAATAAAAATATATTACTTTAGCTATTTTTTGAAGCAAAATTATTCCTTTTATGTACCAATCGACTTTGAAATTGTAATTTTACTCTAAATTCAACAAAAACTTTTAATAATTTATCAATTCTATCTTGACAATGTTCAAAATCGACTTCAATTTGTGCAATTACTGTATTGATGAATTTCTGATTAAAGGAAGGATCAGAACATAAGGTAAAACAATTAAGCTGTCTATAAATAAATTCAAGAATACACAAGAAATATTTTTTTTTTCACAGCAATATTCAATATTATGCAATTTAAGAAATTCAATGCACTTATCTTTATGCACAGAGCTTTTTGGAAGTTCAAACAAAGGTATTTATTGGTTTTCTTTCCTTTACAACCAGTAATTACACAATTTCTGACCATTTTAAAAAAATTAAATTTTATAAATTCGATAAAGACTAAGAAATGTAAACATATATTTTCAACGGAAATTTTAAATTCAAATCAAGTTCGAAAATGAAGTACCTATTTCCGAAAATGAGTTCTTGTTTGCAGTCGTTGGCTTAATTCTTTAAAAAAAATTCTTGAAAGTTTGTCCCTGATACGTTCAATTCATGTTCGACAGACTTATCGAAAGTCTAGGGGTGTTTTAATATGCACGTTCGAAAAATTTAAAATTGAAAAACCGTTACAATTTTTTGTTATATAATTCAAGTTTTTGATAGTTTTGAAAAGAGATTTAGCTGTATTATGCTTATTATCAAATAATAAAATAATATTTTCATCAAAAATTCATGAAAAAATTGCTTAATTTAAGTTTTTATTTTTTTCCTAATTTTCGAAAATTTGGAACTGCAGGGTATGAAACTTCGAATTTTGCATCGCAGACAGACAAATAAGACATTTTTGCAAGTGTTCTTGGAAACTGTAACGGTTGAAACTCTTGAATTGTTCGTATCAGGTTTGTCCAGTACTAAAGCGGTTAATGATAATTCAAACTGATTTTTATGATTTTATTACAGCACACGACATGCTTAGGAATCATTATACTAGAGAAATGCGTGTAGAAAATACCCAAGATCCCCTTAGTTTCATGCAGAGTCGGAAAATTCCTTCCGATTTCCGGGCTAGACATGAACATTTTAGGTGTGAAGGCAAGCAATCTAAAGCAAATAATTGAATTAAAATTCAATATTTTTTTGGATTTATTTATTACTAATTTACCCAATCAAGAACACATTTCATTCAAAATTATCAATTTGGTGTCCTTCAGTATATTAAAATTTATGTTAAACTTACTTCCGATATAATCGTTTAGACATTATTAAAATTTATTGATTAATTTTTCGGGTCGAACAACTATAAGAAAATTAATTTTTGATGGTAATGGTCTTATACTACAGTTTATTTATAGATTAAATAATGACTTTTAATAATTAAATAGCTTGTATTAACCCATATATTTATAGAGATATGGAAAACTGAATGAAACGAAAGCTTTATAATTACAATTTTTCACGAACGGAACGGAATGTTGCTACCATTAAAGTTTATAAGATAAATTTTATGTCAGTTTCAGTTAAAATATGAGTTCACAAAAGTGTCGAATGTTTCTTTGAATGCAGTAGTTTTGAAAGTTTGCTTTAAAAGTTTCATTTGAAAGAATTTTTCATTCATGTACCTTAGGAGACATAATATGGTTGAATCATGGATATTACAAGCATAAACTCCTACACATTCCCGAACAGACAAAGAACATGCTCTCAATGAGTATGCTCACTTAAATGTACTGACTGAGTTAACTCGTGAGCATACTCAGCTAGTATATTTTAGTGAGCATACTCATTGAGAGCATGCTCTTTGTCTGTTAGGGATTTTTTAAGTGAAATTGCATGGAAATTCTAATCCCAAGTAAACACTCAAACCGAAGGAAATGGCGAATAATGCTATTAAAAGCTAGAAGGTGACACAAAAATCAAATAGTTCAAAGGTTCAAGGAGAAGTTTACCCCTCTTATTTATCATTTCTCATGAAGCTCAATTTCTCGAGCAAATACTTTTGAAATTTACCTTTCCACTTTATCCAATTTTCCATTTCTCTACTTTTGTACATGAGAAAGGTAAATATGAAATGTTATTTACTCGTAAGCAAGAAGTTTTGCATTAAAAATTGACATTCAATCGCTCAAAGTAAAATTGCTATATTATATTTCCAAACAATCAATGTTTTTTGCGTTTTTATAAGAAATTCCATTTGAACATTAATATTCAGATTATGTTTTGAAATCTAAAGGCAGAATGAGCAAAGCAAAGAAGTAGAAAAAGGGATTCAAATAGCTATATTTCGTTAATGCCGCATACTAAATTATGCAAATTAGAACTGTTATTTCGGTTATTCAAAATGCAAGAAAAAATTCTGTGATTGTGTTTAAAGATTAAATTAAATTAGTCCGAAATGACTTTATTTCTTAGGTAATATTTGGCAAAGGATTAAGCATGGCATTTAGAAGAATTTAGTAAAAGTAGTTTTATAACAATTAAAATCATCAAATAAATGAGCATCGTTAAGTAAAAGTACTTTAATTAATATTATATCAAACTCACCCTTCAAAAGCTTCTGAAGAATAATATCCTTGTGGTCGTGAGAATATGGTTCACCAATCACAATAAGCAGATAACATCCAGTTAATGGACTAGGTGGACCAACTGCTAAGTTTAATGACATCGGTCCTTCTGATGCAGTTTCAATCAGTGATGGATTCTCTCCAATTGCATCTCCACCACTTGGAACTGCAGTAGAGCCATTCTTATCTTCAGCCATTGTATCCATTTAATGGATTCCTGCTTCGAACGTGCTTTCAACTCTTACAACTTAAACTGTCTTAAATTATTTTCGAACTTTATATTGTCTTTTTGTCTTCAACAATGGAATCTCTCTATGGTAGGAAAGAAACTTTTTAAACTTTTTATACTTTTCTTATTCGCTTTGCTCGTTAAGTCAACGAAATGAATAAATCAATACAGCACAAGTAGGTTGGTGGCTTTTTAAATATACTGCAACAACGTAACCGAATTATTTTTTCTCTATATGCTTTTTGCCAAACGTGGGACAGCGTATTAGTAAAACTTAAAGATTTTTTTTTGAAAATTTTCAGTTAAAAGAAAGAAGTAAAAATATAAAAAGAAAAATTTATGTCTGCATATAATGGCCGCACCCGAAAAAGGAAAGAAAAGAAAGAAAAAAACGTATATTGAGTAAGAACAGCTGAAGTTGATCGCTTGTAAGTAGGATGTTCTATCTCTATTTCACACTTGCAGGCTGCTAAGTTATACTAAAAGCACACAGCACTTTGCTATTACCCAACACTCACAATATGTATAAATGTACTCTCGCCAACAACAATGTTCCCCTTTTCCTTCTTTCTTCTTCTTTCTTTGACGAAATTATCGATTTTTCACTTCTCTCCTTCTCTCTTTTTTCTTTCCTTATTATCCTTTCAATAATCTTTTAATAGGATAAAATTTTACTGTCTTAACGTTTGACAAATGAATTTCTTTAATTTAGACCGCAAATTTAATTAACAATACAAGAATTACTTTTTTTTAATAAACTTTTGAAAACTTTCAGAAAATTTTATATGGAATTTTTTTTTTCTTCTTTGCTGTGAAAATTTTTCGACCGGTGTTTAAAAACGTGTCTGATCTTAACCACGGTGAGGAATGGAATAACGAAAATTTGAGAGAAAATGCAATCGGTTTTTGAGTTTCACTGCGAATTGCAAAAATTTCTATTGCGCTGGTTAGTGGGGATTTGAAGCATGCGCGCATTGAAATTTACATAATCAGCTGTTGATGTTTACATGCGGTAAAAAATTTGCCGGCTAATTTTTGTTACGTTATTATTCATTGAAATTCATTTTGATTGTTCTATTTATTTTAATAAACAAGTTTTTCGTAGCATTGAGCACGCAAAAGAACATTAACCGGCATCAATGTCATTCAGAATTCATTAGAAATTTGAGAATTTATAAAAGCATAAATTTTTATTAATTTTGTGTTATACATCTGAACTCTTTTAATATTAGACATCTTGCTATCCTACTTACACGATTTTGTATTGACTTTTGCCTAGACGCAGGCGTTGAAAAAAAGCTCTGCATATGTCAACATCGATCGCTTACGAACTGAAAAATTTCGACGCAATGACACGAAATTTCCCCGCTTTGATAATAACCGTTAAACCGATTAAAAATCATTTATCATTTTTCCTAGCATCTCCACAAAAAAAGTTCCGTTCATTCATCATATGAATATAATAATAGGCGTAAAGGAGAACATATAGTATGTATGTAGCCATAAAAATATCATTTTATAACACCATTTATGAAATTCAACATTATCACGGTGGAGAGAACTTTCATGTGTGAATGAAAATATAAAGGAAAGTGAAATGGTACGAAAAACACGTCTGGCTGAAATACCACAAAAAAAGTTTCACATAGGGAGCATGAAAGATAGTATCAAAATTTAAAATTCAAAACAAGCAATAAATTACTATGTTATTTTAGGCTGCTAGTGCTATACGAAAAAAAAAATTACCTTTCCTTAAACTTTTACACATACTTAACCAACTCTAATATATGAGAAGGATTAAAACATGAAAAATATTTATTTTCCTAAATCAATAAACGTTCATTCTCGAGGAAAAGTTCATTTTCCTTATAAATTGAAATTATCATATGAATTATGAAATTCCAACACGAAATATAAATCACTGTGAAAATATACAATTTTTCATTTTAAGAGAATTAAAGCTTTTAAATCATTTATTTGAGTTTGGGTTAACAAATTAACTATTCACAAAACAATGTCTGTTGAAATTTTTATTGTAATTTCCAAAATTCTAATTCCAATGCAGAAAAAGATTTAAGGAATCTGAGAATGTAAATACCCTGATTTATTTGCTCAAAATCCTTTTTTAAAATTGTTTAAGCTAATAAAAAATCTGCCGTTAAAGTAACATAAACTCACAAACTACACTCTAAAGAGAAACATTCATTTGCACATCATTATATGTGATTCCACAATAGTGCTCCAATTAACATTGTGTAATACTAGTATTATGCAGCAATTTGTCTGAAACATTCAAATCACTGATATTTACAAGGATATTTGCAGTGATATCACATAACAAGCATAATCATTACGTATGTATGTGAATCCACATACTATTTGAATTTTTAAAATGTAAAGAAATTCAAATTAAAATACAATATTTTTCACTTAAAATTTAATAAAAATGATAAAACTATCGAAAGTGTATCATATTTTATAATTCCAATATTTTATGAGAATGATTATCAATTAACATGATACATATCTATAAATATTTGTCCCAAAATCTCAGAGCCATTTATTCAATCGAATGACATTCTTATGCATAATCCGAGATGAAAATTTCAAAATCAATTTGATTCTATTGATTTTTTGTATTATCTTTCTTTTCTAGCTATTCAGCAAACGACATGATATTAGATGATGAGAAAATGTTTTGATTTTCAATTTCAATATTTTTCAATTTGTGCTCTCATGCCTCCGTATGCAGCTTCTATAATTTTAAATATTTATTCTAGTGTTGTTCTAAAATAAATATTGGAAAAATGCTTAATTTGCTTGACTTTTTATCACAAAATCCATTGCTAATCTTATGAGATTATGATAGTTTAACTTTCGCTGTTATGATACATATTTTTTAATTCTGATCCTTTTATTCGAATATTTAAAAATTTTAAAATATTCTATGCACCATTCCTACCTCAATATCTTATTTCTAATAATATCTTTTTTATGTGTATATGGTAATCGATCATATCTACCTCATTTTCACATAATCTTATTTCATGACATAACTTATAGTAAAAATAATTTCCTTATCATAAACTTTCATGAGACCTCATATGTAAGTTGAGACATAAGATACACAATAAACTAATCTAAAGGCGCCTTGCCTATGCAATTATTTTACCACCCATTTAACCTCATAAATTATGTCTGCCTTATATACATTTATATTCACTCACTTTAGTTTCTCATTATGTGATTATTGGCGCATCCATTCTCAAAACTTTTTTTATTGGGTCTATTGGCACAGGAGTCTTTTACATTTAAAGACGAAGCAAAACAAAATTTTAAAAGTTTTTGAGAAACAGCAAATTGTTCATATTACCTTTTTAATTGGCTTTTTAAACTCAGATTGTTTTTCATACCATAAAAAGAAATGAAAATGTTTTTGAAAAGCAAATTTTCTTCGTGTTTAATTATCATATGCTGCCTAAATGATCTCAATTATTTATATTTTATTCAAACATTCTCGCTCTTAAAAAAATGTGCTAAAGCTCAAAGATAAAAATCTGCAAAGTTATAAGAAGCGCATACAAATTTTTATCAAGTTATAGGGAGAATGTTTACGTAATTTTTATATTTCATTGCATTTATTGCAAAACGATAGAGTGGGTGAGAAAATAACATCTCAATTAAGTGCATCAATGTGAATATATTATGTGTCTGTTGATGTTTGCTTCCATTATTCCATTTATATCTATTGAGAAAACAGAAAAAGGAAAGAAGAGGCATAAAGGTGATTATCTTTTATTGTTCACAAGCGATTTTCTTATTGCTGCAACACTATGAAGCGTTTTTATAATGGTGATATTTTCTTCCTTCCCATTTCTTTGATTGTAGCAGCTCAAGGCACCTTGAATAATAGCAATAGAAAGAAACCACTTGAACGGTGCCTTATTTTTTTATCATAACTTTAAAGTGAATACAAAGGAACATTATGACTATAGATGTATTGTTTGAAACACCAACAAAATGCTGTGACACTGCTCTCCTACTTATATGTTTGAAGCTCTGTTAAGGGAAATAATGGAAGACAATAAAAATGAGAAATATAAAAATAAAACTTTTATCTTCCATATACTGTTGATTTTCTACTCCTTCATTCACTCTTTTTCTCTTCTTTTATTCCTCAACAAAAAGAATGAACAGAGACGAAATGAAAGAAAGACATACACAAAAAATTCTTCACGTGCATGTGTTTCTCAGTCGGAACTGAATAAAATAAAGCAATAAAAAAACATTACCAAGTTGAAGGCAAGCAAACTGAACCAGTTTAAGTTCTTTTTCATATACCGCTGTGCTATGAGCGCCTAATAAAATAGAGCAAATTTTTAATATTTTTATTTATTTAAAACCTTTCATTTCCATTTTATAATCATTTCTTTTTTTATTGTATTTATTTTATTTCTTTGACTTGCTCTCGCAGTTTGAAAAAAAAAATCAACAAAAAGTGCAATACTTTTGATGGGAAAACATGAAATTCATAGTTAAATATTTAAAAGCTATGGATCTTTAATCTGAGAAAAATCTTCTTCAATAAGAAACTTAATAATTTCAATTCTGTATATTCTACTTATAATTGGAATCTGTTAAGAAAACTTTTAAACCAAGAGAAGTCGTATAAGAAATTTTTATGAAAAACCTCACAGGATCTTGGATCTGTTTTGATTCAAAATACGTAAGCACAGAAAATTAGAAAACTGCAGTTGATGTTTAAAAACCAGCATTTAAAAGTTTACAGCCTTGGAAGTTTGAATATGAATACCAATTGAAACGAATGAACAATTACAAGGCCATATTAAACTATAAAGCAATACCTTATATTTCTTATTGACAAAATATATGTCAACAAATGTAAGCAAATGGTTGAAGAAAAATTATCCAGAATAAAAGTAAATGACAGTTATAGCGCCATGGTTTAACAATTAAATGAGAAATTGCTGAAAATACATTTTTTAAGTTTTATAAATTCAAAAGTTAATTTTTTCATCATTAAAAATACAAACTTTTTTTTTCAAGAAAGGAATTTTTTTGAAACCAAATTAAAAAATTTAAAATACAATTGTTTATTCATTTTTTACCAGACAAAATTTTTCACTCTATTTTGATTAATTATAGTGAATAAATTTCATAGAAAAATCCCTTCATAAGCATATAATCGTTTTGCTGAAAACTCCTTTTAACAGCATATAGTCTATATCTCAAGAAAATAGCCGAAAATGACTTTCTTTAATTAATATCAATTTTATTTCTGCAGACATGACAGTGAGAAAATTAAGCCAGTAACCCAAACACAACGGAATGATTTGCAACAACGTGTATTATTCACAAAAGTTTTCGTATTCATTGTTGTTTTCGAGTGAATCGAGAAGGTAATAAAAGCCTCAGCACGCTCAAACAACTGTATTGATAAAAATCATTACTTATATGTTTTGAGCATTGAGAAATTGATAAGTTTAAAAATAAGGTTATCACAGCTATTTACACAATATTTGTGTAAAGTGTTTTTTAAGCTACACAAATAAATTTTTGATCGACAAACTTTTTTTCATCAAAACAGCAAGTAAAGACTTTTTGTGTACTTCGTATCTATTTTTCTGAAAAAAGGTCGTAAGAAAATGAATTATTGATAAGTACTAAATGAATTGACTTTAGGCACATTTGAACATGTTTTTCTTGATAATTTAAATAATAATTACTTACATTATTGGGTTTTAATGTACCTGTAAGTACAACAGAAGTGGCTTAAATCACACGTATGGTATAGTAAAATAAAATAAACATTTTTTTTTACTTTTTTTGTCATTTTTTATTTTTTTTTTTTATCAAATTATTTAAAAAACGAAAGAAATAAAAAAATATCAAGCATAAAAAATGAGTTCACTGCATATTAAACAGTGATGATGATTTATAAATCCTTCAATAAAATATTCTATAGTTATTAACAAAGAGTTCTTAGTGGTCAGAAGCTAATGGTCCCCAGAAATTTTTCGAAACTCGTTTAGGGTTTTCTGTTAAGAAATAGTCGCGTCCTAATTTAACAAATTCTTTGATAGATAAAACTCCATCGTTATTTTTATCGATAGCAGCAAATGATACTTGTGCATCTCGTTCTGTCAAGCCAAGACATTTAAAGAACAATTTAAATTCTTCAATTGATATTTCACCAGAATGATCTTTATCAACTGCTTGAAATAGGTAAGGCAGGAATTTGTGGACCTTTTTTCTCAAATCTTTGTCCGTCATCGCATGATACATTTCGGTGAGGTATTGTTCTACAGATACCAAATTATAAGGATCTATTTCACCGAAATTTGTCTCCCAAGTTATCTAAAATGATAAATAGAGGTGCTATCACATAAATCACCAATAAAATAGAAATAAAATACATACACGTAAAACTTCGATAAATTCGATCATTTCTTCTCTCGATAAATGTCCTAAATCTCCAAAATTATTAGCCAAACATTTAAAGTCATCAAATGAAATCACGCCATCGTTGTTGACATCGAATATTCCATGTAATGTTCTCATCTTTTGTCTCCAAAATTTGCTTGTGTAGGCATCTTTCTAAAATCAGATTAAGAGGATATAAAATAAGATTCTCATTGACATTACAACTCATTCTTATTTTATTCATCATTATTAATTCAAAATCAAGGAAAACGCATGCTTTAGTGGTGGCACGTATTTTATCTTCTTTTCTCGTGTATATGCTGTTCTACGTCTCGCTACTCTTTCAAGGTTATTAATTACAAATAATGCTTAGCATAAGCGTTCAAGAGCGAATGACTGTGAATCACACGAAAGAAAAAATTTTACATAAATGTAATTCCGGCAACAACAAACCAACACCATGATGGAAGTGCTGCTTGCTTTGTGTTTACTTAAAATTCATTGACCTATTATGAAACAAATATTGAAAATTGCCTCTAAACTCAATTTGATTTGTTCATTTTTGTGCAATAGCTTACGGAACTATTCAAGTTTTCCTTGGTTTATTAATGATTAATATTGTAATGAAAGTAAAGATCATTCAGATTCTTATAATTTGAAGGAAAATGCAATAACATAAGCATTGAAAACATTAATTAATCATCATTACCACCTACACAGAAGATTAACCATTAACATAAATTTTGACATTGATTGATGTAATAAAAGTTGATTTGTAAGGATATAATTTAAGGATATAATATAGAGAGCTTTTAGAGATAAATCATTTTTCGGATGAAATAAGGATGAAATGCTTAAAACTTAATTTTAGAATTGACGTCTTATTTATCTGTACATCCCACTTATAACTGTTAACTTTTAATGTCATCCGATTAAAGCATGGTCAACCTTTTTTCGAATAAAGTTTCAAAAAACACATAATGGCATTGCAATGTGAAAGCTTCTTAGAGCTTAAAAATTTGATAAATGTACCAACAAAAACTTTCTTTGTGAAAAAAATAAAAATTTTTGAGATACTTTGAAATAATTGACAGTTCCCATTTGTTCAATTAATTTTATCAAATATGCCTCACAAAATTACCTTGTTTGTTTCACACAATAATTGTAAAAAAAAAGCAATAATTGTTTAGATTATCACAGACTAATGTTACAATGAATTGGAAGCAAAATTACATGATTTTTACCACGTTTTGTTTTTTGTTATATCTGCAGACAAGAAAAGCTAAGCTTTTGTTAAAAATTCAAGACCTAAAATGTGTTACAAATAAAACCAGTATGTTAATCATGTTCTATTTGAGCACTAAACAGTTGAAACCTGTTCAGGTTTCATTTTTGACCAATATTCTCCCACAAAGTATTTTATTCCATGTGCCGTATATGAAAACAAACAGAATCACTCAAAAATCTTGCACATAGCTTAAAAACGTCGCAAATTGATTCTCTATCAGCAAATTAAATTTATATAGAAAATGTGTTTTAAAATATTTGTTTTTATTTACCGGCACTTCACATAGCTGCTGATAAGTAGAAGAGAGTTCATATTACTAACATTAATGAGCTATTAAACATAATTTTACGTTTGTATAAATACAAATAAAGAGTTTATATAAACACACATGAATGAGCTATTGGAGAAATATGGAAATTTGATCGGTAGACGGAGAATACAGAGAGTCAGGTCTGCTTATAAGCAATGCAATCGCATTTACATAAAAATATTTTGTGGAATTGTTATTGCGAAACAAATTGGTTTGCATTAGAAATTGACAAAACGAACGAATTCTATTGTCTGCAGTTTTATAAAGCACAAAATCTATTTACCAAACGATTATCCAAAAGAACTTGAATCTCGTCCTAATACTTTTACTTCAGGCAAAGATTGCAAAAATATTTACATTAATTTTTTTATAACAAAAACGAAGCAAAAACAGGAAAGAAAACCCTCGAGGCAATAAGCAGAAAAATCATTTTGCAAAAGGGTTAAAATCATAACAAAAAAAAATGTTTTAGGAAAATCCATTCAAATATTAAAAATATTTCTGTCTCATTAGAAATTCTTATCATGGATATAAACATTAGAGTTAGGTAGCACATGAAAATCGAATGAAAAGAAGATTCTTATTCTCATTTGATATGAACTAACACTATGTAGAGTATATCCAATTATCTGGATTTGTTTAAATGAGTTTTTTCTATAAGGAGTATTTTTGTGTTGATTATCACTACTTGATTATTATTTCACATTGTTAAACGTACTAATTGTTTTTTTCTACTCAATTAACACTAAATCTATAAATACCACAGAAGGAAGTGATAGAAAATATTGTTTTAGGATAACAAGAAGACGATCGTCAAAACATGCCAATTAAAAACTTGTAAACGTAATTTTAAATTTACCTTTTTGCGCCTTTCTGCATCTGAATCAGAATCAGAGTCGCTGTCGCTAACATATTTTCGAGCATTTTGCTTGATATTTTCCTTTGAGTAGGCTCGTGCTTGATCAAAGATATTTGATTTGTTAACTGGATTGTTTTTGTTGGAGCATTGCACATTAAGTGATGTGGAAAAAGACTGCAAATAAAGAAGGGAGATGATAATGATGAAAAATGAATAGTTACGTGAGAGTTGCAACGTGTATAGAAGAAAACTTCATCTGTTGAGCTTACGTGCACAACAGAGTGTTTTTAATAAATTCCCTCTGTAGATGACAATAATACGCATTTAAAAAAAGAAATAAAAATGGAAATGAAAACAAAATAGGGCCAAGAAATTTAATGCTGCTGCTGTTGTGTCGCGGTCAACCAACGCATACAATAACAAAAAATTAATTCATTAATTTTATCGCGGTTTTGGAAAAATAATTTTTAAAAGCAGATATGTCAATACCAAATAATTTATTTGCATAAAATTTTGAAAAATGAAACAGTAAACGATTTATTTACTGGTCGCGGGTATCAGTTTTATTGTATATGCCTCTATGTAAGTCTATATACTTATATGAGTGTCGAAAGAGAAGTTATTATCAACTGTTTTACTACTTCACCCAAAAACATAACTTTTGTTCTCACTGAAGTAAAAATTAAAGTTTAAGTACTTGCACAACTCCACGCGTAAATTAAGACTTCAAAGGTCGGTAGACTTTCAATCGAGTCATTTTAGCATTTTTAGTGCTGTTTCAGTTATCAAATTGAAGCTACAGAATCAAACATTGTGATCATTTTATTCAGCACACATCAAATAGAAACAAGAAGTTCTTAGTTTTCTTGTTCATTAAAGTGACATTATCGACTGAAAAATGAGAAAACATCTGTTTTTATATTCATTTATGGAAAATTGCGTTGCCTTTTTCTGTACATGTATTCTTTGTATTCTTAACACACTCAACTCTCTTCTTTCCCCTTCATTTTAAAAATTTGCTTTTTTGGTGTATGCCGATTTTTTTACAGTCTTTATTTAAAAACAACCTTCCTGTTTTTGGTCTCTCAGCATATTCGTGAATGAAAGATAGAGACAAAATAAAATAGACTCATACATATGTAAATCTTGTTATGTACCATGTCCTTGAAATGTTTTCAATTATAACTTTTCAAAAAAAAACTATTGATTTACTCCCAAATCGCTTACATTTCCTTTCCACATCAAGCTTACTGCAGCTGGAGCTAAAAGTGCAATGCGTTCTCTTGTAGCGATAGGAGTTTTTGCCAATTGTCTCAGTACACAAAACGCCATCTTAATAATGTTTTCAAAAATCGTCTGCTACTGTCTTACTTGATATTTTTTCGCTTTAGTCTTTCGATTTTTTTGTCTTCTTGTTTTTTTTTTATACACTTATTACTGTCTAGAAGATGTTAGTCTTTTACTTATTTTAGAAAATTTAGGCACGTCTACAAATGTTTGCTTTCAAAAGCGTTTCTTCTTAAGTCTTTTCATTTAATTTGCAAGTCTTTAAAAATTTACAATTTATTTTTTTTTTGAATTTTCAATTAGTCTTGCTGAGTAAGAATTAAAATAAAAATTTTAAAATGAAATGGAGTAAAAAACAAATTAAATGTGCCACGAATAATTAAAAATTGAACGAACTGATGTTCCACGCATCCGATTATATTAAAATATGGAGTTGAACTAAGAGTGGCTTACGCTCAGCGCTTAAATTTTATTACACAATCTTCATATATTTTATGGAAGTATTGTTTTGAATTTCCGTTAAGAATGTATTGGTTCAAAAAAGGCATGAAATGTATAAAAAACCGGTCATGTTTTCGTTTTTCTCTCCTCAATTTGCTATACGAGAAGAAGGAAATATTTTCGAACAAGAAGAAATCTAATTTTTTAATCAACACTACGAAATCGAGGAACATAATGAAAACGCCGATAACATTACATTCAAAGAAATCGCATGAATCTACAATATGCTGCAAATGACAATATAGCGGGGTTTTAAAAACAAACATTCAACAAGTTTTTTTTTTGTTCTGTTTTCGAACTCATCGACGGTTGACATTTTTAGAGCTTGAACACAAAGCTTTTTCGAAATTTAATGAGCTTTTATCGAAATTGAAATTTTAAATATTTTATTAAGCGAATATATAAAGAAGGTTATTACAGCTGAGTAAATATGTATTTCAAAATATGATGATTGTCAGCCACGAGGTAACATTTTACTTGTCATAAATTCTCTCTTTAATCTTCCTCATAATCGAGCAAGAAGATTTCTCTTGGACAATTTTCAACTGGAATGCAGTCACCATCATCAACTCTTATGAACCCTTCTTTACAAACACATTCGTAGTTGTAGTAGCAATCAAATCGGTTTAAAGCGCATAAAGGATCTCTTCCAATATCACAAAAATCTTGACAATCATATAATCCACATTTAAGTTCCTCGTTTTCACCACATTTGACTACAAAAAAAATTACTTAAAATAAAATTCTAATTATTTTATTTTCAACTTACCATCACCGAATTTCGCTGGTATACATCCTTTATCCATCATCATATAGCCTGGCTTACAGTAACAACCTTAAAAATTTTAATGAAATATTTTTAAAAATAAAAACTTTAATTAAAGTCTTATACCTGATTTGCATCCCATCATACAAAAATCTGTTTTATTCGCATGATGATAAACTTCATTCGCTTCGCATTGTTCTAGATCAACTAAGATTTCTAAGAAGAAAAAATTGATTAGTACTAAAGAAAAAAAAAATTAAATTTTAATAAGAATAGAAATAATAATTTAAAATGCTCAAATTAATAATTTATTTCATATCCTCTAAATATTCATCAAAAAGTGCTCTTGGGCAGTCTTCTTCAGGTATACAAGGTCCATTTGTATTCAATCTAATGTATCCAGTTTTACAGAAGCAGGTGTATCCACAGTGGTATGCAGACAAGTTACATGTGTAATCTCTAGTTGTGGCGCAATACTTAGCACAAACTCCATCGCCACATCCAACATATTCATTTTCTTTACAGTAATGTGCCTTAGCAGGTTGGCATTTTCCAGTTCGTCTATTTAAAATGTAGTTTCGTTCACAATAGCACCCTAGTGTTTAATTGTCACTTATTGACTCGTTTCGTCATCAAAAATACTATCGAATATGATTGCCTCTTTACCTTCTCTACAGCCATGTTGACATAGTAAATCCGGCCTAAGGGGATTGTGAAATGACATATGAGGTGCATTGCATTCCTTAATTTGAATGTCGTGAAATGCTTCAACACTTAAAAAAATGATGAGGCAATAAACTTATTTAAATTGGCATGAATTAATTTAATTAAAAATTAAATAATGCCAAATTAAACTTAACAATAGAACTAGATGATTTCGATAAAAAATGTTAATAAAAATTAAAAATGTGCTCCAAATCATCATACCTGAACAACACAGCAAGAAATGCTGATAATACAAAACCTAAACTGAATGCTGTCATTACGAATTCTTGATAAATACTGCAACACAGTCTCCAATTATATTTATTTTTGTTCAAAATTTTACAATACATTTATCTACACTCATCTCAAAATACTCAAATTTTATTAATGTCTTTACATTTTAATTATGAGTGAATGAGAAAAAAAATTGAACTGATCAATAACACACTTCTGTGTCATTGAAAACTTTTGTGGCTGTTTTTTATTCTTATCATTTCAAAATTTTAATTTTATAAAAAAAAGGTTCATGTTTTTAAAGATCTTTAATTCTCTTTATTGATAATCGGACATTGTCTTCTGCTGACGCATTGGCTGTCTTCAAAAGCTCTTATAAAACCATCAATGCAATAACATTTATCTAGAATAATTTTTAACGATTTAAATCATACACACAAAAGAATTTATATTTTAGCTACTTACATTCACAGCGAATAGGAAACTTTGTGCATTTTTCATCAATTGTTGCACACGTTTGTACACATAATGGGTTTCCACACTCAATTTTCTCATTTTCAGGACATTCTATGGGGAAATGAAATAAAGTAATCTGACGTGAAAGAGAAACAAAAAAAAAGGTAGCATATGAGTCTCAATATTCATTGCCTTTTCAATTTACTTTTTGCACAAAAGTCATTTAGGAACAAACGCAAAAATCATTCTCACTAAAATTAGGATCACGTTCTTTTCAACTCTCAGCTTTCATTTTTTAAATCAATTGCTGACATATGGAATGACCATAATAATACAATATACTTTTCTTGTTACACATCAATTTCTTTTTCAAATTATTAAAGGCTAATGCGTAAAGTTTTTAGACTTTATTTACGATACTTTGAATGTACTAAAAAAGTTCTTGCAATTTATCATCCTGACATTCTGTTCTCAATAAGACATTTTATGCACAATGTGTACATAAAACACTTTATTGGTTAATTTTATGAGGATATTTTCAATTTGTCATTTTTGACGGGTGATGCCTCTAATTTAGGATGAGAAATGTGAAGCTTTGTCCTCGACACGAATATCTTGACCCTTGTTATTCACATTTCCTACAGTGTGCTTGCATGTGAAACATTTTGTTTTATTTTATACCTACGTGAACAGTCAGTCGATAAAACACATTTGTTTGTGACTAAATCCCTTTTGTATCCTTTTCTGTTATCACAATAGCATCCTGCTATGCATTCTTGAGTGCAAACACTTAAGCTTTCATTTTTGTGCGATAGACACTTAGATTCTCTACATTTAGATCCACACTGCATAAATGTTTGATTTTTTGGGCAAGCATAAACATTCTCCGCACAATTTATTGTACACTTCTTTGTGCTTGTATCATATTTATAACCGGATGGACAGGCTTAACAAAAAAAAAATTATATTATCAACTATACGCAGTAAACTTTCTTCATACTTTCACATTCTGCAAAAGGGATGCATTGAAATGTCACAGAGCTCCTTTTATATCCATTCTTGCACGTACAACCACTCTTACACAAACATTTCTTAGAATCTTCTTTTCTTGTGTCACACGTCTTCTCGCATCCAATAAAGTTACTAGTGCAAATTAGATAAACTTCATTTTTACCGCATTGTGCATGATTTGTTTGCTTTGGACAAAGATGTTCTGAAACGCATTCATACGTATCTGGATGTCTCAAAAAACCATTCTTGCATACACACCCAGGAGAAGTTTGACACTTTGATGTCTCATTAAATTTACGATTCCAACAAGTATTCTGACATTGTGAAACTTTCGATGAGTAAACTTGATTTTTTGTACATATCTTGTCACATGTAAATGAACAGAAATAACATGGAAATAGAATTAGAAAAATAAAAGCAGCAAAAACTTTCATTATAATAAGTATACTTGTAAATAACAAAGTAAAACAGAATGACCAAAATACAGTATATTTATACCACACAAAACAGACAGCTGTAGTTTTATTGCAATTTATTACCATCAAAAATTTTGTTGTTTGATAAAGTTGTCCATTACAACAATAGCTTGAAAAACTTTATCGTTTTCACTTTAAGCATTCTGTATAATGTATGCAGCTACCATTTTTATGTCTAACATAGCCTTCGGATTGTTTACAATAGCAACCGAATTTGCATTCAAACTTTGATGTTTTACAATCTTCTATAAGATTTAGACATGTTGCTTCACATTCAAGCGATTGACAGCTATAAGCTTCATTTTTACGACATCGTGCTGAAATATGGAGAGTGAGCCATGATTTCGATTGAAAAATCGATAATTCTACGTCTTACGTGGACAATTTTCATACAATACACAAGTATCATTTAACGGATTTCTGACATATGGTTGTTTACAAAAACAGCCCTCATAGCAGCCTTCTTTATCACATGTTGTGCGTGGATTATTAAAGCAGCAATTCTCACAATTAGAACATTTCAAGTATTCTTCATTTAATTCACATTTCTTAAATGCGCAGTTTTGCACACAATGATTATTAAAATTTTTGAAACCTTTTTTACATTTACATGATCCACATGATAAGCTACAGGATGGAGTTGTGCAATTCTCACAAGCAATCCATTGCTCATTTGGACGACATCCTGTAAAAGATGTTAAAATATTCATTTAAAATTAAATTAATTGTTAAATTTGATGAGAAAATGACGAATTTAATACTTGAGCACTTTGAAATTTCAATACATTTTCCCGTCTTCGTGTCACGAACATGGTTCTCTTTGCATACACATCCTGCTGAATTACTATCTTCTGAGTGGCATTTCTCGTTTATCGCTCCATAATAATAAGTGTAGCATGATAATTGGCATCCTGCTTTTGTCTCACTAAAGTATTCATTCTCATCACAAACGAATGATTTTTTTCTTTGTTCCTCCAATATCTTCTTACATCTATCAATTGATATGCATTTTCCAGTCTTTGAACTTCGAATCATATTTTCCTTGCAAATGCATCCATGAACACATCCACAATCTAAATTGGATTCATTGAAAGTTGATCCACAGTAAAGTTGACAAGAAGCTTTGCATTCCACAAAAGTTTCGCTCGGTGAACATTCTAGAGAAGATTTTTATAATCAAATTTGGAACTTTAATTTTTTTTTGTCCTTCAAGCTCTCCTATACCTTCGTAACATTTTTTTGCTATTGTATATAAATTTAAACTTATCAAAGGGATTAAAATAATTGGAAAAATAAACAACCCACTCTTCATTGTGAGTCAAGCACTAACTAAAATATAGAGAGTGGAACAAAAAAATCATGAACTTTTACATTCTGAAAACGTGCTTAAAGTTTAAAATTAAAAACACTGTAAAAGTTTTTATTTTACTAAAGTGATTAAAAGTAATTCATTAGTAGAGTGATGAGTCTCTCATACAGAACCTGCTGTTAATAACACTTGAATTTTTAAAAAAACTTTGTTCATATAAGATCTTTAAATAAAGCTTTAAACTCGCTTTTATTTAAAATGTTTTTGTAATGGAAAATGAAAAAGTAAAGTGGAAAAGTTTTTCATCATAATCTTGAAAGAAGTAAAACAAAATAACACAATAAGATTTTACATTTGGCATTAAAGAAAATGTCAGTAAATTTCATCACATTTCATTTCCATATAAATGTTTGAGACAGGTATGAAACATTTAATAAATTCAACCAAACAGAAGTTCAGCCTTGTGCTTTGGTGCTGCGTTCACAGCTTTTCCAAATGTATACATATTCACAATTGATTGATTTGATAAATTGGAATTCGATTTATTCTCAATAGACCTAGTGTCGAAAATACAATATCAGGGGACGTATTGTTGCTTTACAATTTTAGCAATGTAAAAATCATTCAACTTTAAAATATTCAATGCATACAGGTTATATAATAAAAGTCAATTTCTTGAGACTGAAAATTTTAAAGCACATAATCACTTCAATTATCATTCCCCTTAAGCATAATATTCTTTTTGTGATATTTATATAAAAAAATCTCGTTTCTTTGGAACGTGAAATGTAATATTCATGAAATGTGTAAATTGTCATTCAGGTTGTGAATTAAATGTTTTAAATACATGTATGTGTATCATTAAATTCTCTGTTAATTAAATGTATGATGGCAAATTTCTCATGATGAGGATTTTAAGTGATTGAAAAATTATTTAACAAATTTTGTGAATTTTATGAATTTTATTAAGCTGTAGTTTTCAAATTAGGCTTTAAAAACATTTCATTAATTATGTGAACTTTAAAAATTATAAACTTTCAATTTTAAGATAACATGAAGTGTCCTACAAATCCGGAAAAGTCTATAGGTACCGTCATTGGAAGAGATACTGAAAAATGTGAATAACAAATTAGAACAATTGAGAAATTTCTATTTTAATTAATTTAAAATAAATAAGCTCACTATTTCCAGGCATCAACATTGGAAAATGAAATCCTATCAAACTTACTGAAATTGGAATTTTAAAATATCTAAATTTAATATTCTCAAAACTTTAATATGTACTTACTGTTAAAACTAAGATTCATTAATCCAAAGAATACACCTTTTGCTGCAACACTTTTAATATTGACATTTGCTAAAGGAACTGAATTTCCTTGAATGTTGTCAGCAGCATTATTATCATTTGCAGCACATACTAAAAGCAAAATTGTGAAAAATCCAAGCTTATACATGGCAATAGTTTGAGAGAAAATAAAGCAATGAAGAATGGAACATTTTTGTTGTCGTACACCTAAACTATATATTCAACTCGTATGAAGTACTTAACGCTTGTTAACGAGCTGTAAATATTATTTGATTGTCGAGGAAGTGGAAAAACATTTCCATGTAGTTGTTAGCACTCTTAACAATATAGAAAAATTACCTTCATTCAATTTTTCAACAATAAATTAAAAAAGTCTATCCTTTCTATCTTCATCAATCTTTATTAAATTGTTCATGTTATTAAATAGATTAAAACTTTTATAATAAAAATTTATAATTTTTTTCACTGAAAATTCATGAATTTCTTAATCTGTTTATTACATCTATTGTCTGTTATATCTATTTTAAGATTGTCTATCTTTCTGAATTTATCAACTAGGAAAGTGGCCTTTTTAAATATGTATGAAAGGATAATTTGTGTTCTTTAAGCATGAAAATTGCTTTTGGTAATTTATCTTAATGTATTTTAAAATAAAATATAATAAAGTAATTAGTAAGATTTGATATTTCACCATCAAGACATCTCAATAACAAACTTCATTTGAAAAGGATTCAAATTTGTTTGATAATTTTATTCCTCTTGATGACATTTCAATTTATAAATAATGAAGGACAAAGCTGAAGTCGTTGGCAAAATAGAATTTATTCTGTTGTTCCTTCTGTCGTCAATTCTTCAACATTTGATCCCTCCTCAGTAGGTGACTCTTCAATTTTCATAACATTTCTTCCATCATTTTTATTGCTGTTATTATTACTGTTTTTGTAATTTGTCTTAGAATTTGTGGGGGCTTTAGTTGAAAAAGCTTTAAATGGAAAGAAAACAAGGAAAGTAATAATCACATATAATTCGAGTCATAAAAAGATGTAGAGACATAATTTAAAAAAAAAATGAAGATAAAATTACGTTTTCCATTCTGTGGCCTCCGATAGTTGAAATTATGTTGAGTCACAACAAACTGAATAAACACAAGACACAGTAAAATAATGAAAAGAGCTTTCATGACTAATCACTCCAAATGTTGAAACTAAAATAGTGAAATGAGGAAAACACATTATACATGTACAACAAATGTCAGCGTTTACATACATTTATTAAATTTCAAGTTTTTTAGTTGACACTGAATTACAATTATAATAACATTAATAAAATTATATTTTGTATCATTTCTCTTTTTTTAATAATTTAGTTGTGATTGTGATGTGAAACTTCAGATAACAGATGTGTGAATGAAATAATACAATAAAATTAACAGCTACTATTTACACGTAATCACAATTAATAGCTGTGATCCCTTTATAGAGACCACATTAAAATAAATTTTATAATACTATATCACGAGTTGTTGTGGGACCTTGTGCATAATAGCTCTCTCGATAGGATGTTTTAAACAATGTAGGGAGTAAGTTGTTTAAATAGCTTAATACGGCAATAATGACTTCATGATTAGCGAAGCAAAACAAACAAGATACACACAATCCTTGAAGGCTTATAATAACAGCTGAAACTCCATGATAAATACTTTCTAGTGATGATCCTTTCTCTGGCCGAAAGGGAATCAACACGTGTTGTAATCCAAATAAAGGAATTAATATTAGTGCTGCACGAACTGCTTTCTTCAGTGCTAATGGTGGTGGTGCCACGGATTTCGGATGTAATTTTGTTATTAAAACTCGCACAATGTTTACAAGAAACACTATTTAAAAAAATAAATTGACATAAAAAAATATTTAAAAGTTTTTGAGTAGCGTACCTATTGAACAGATGAATGAAATAATCACAGGCACTGTTAAAATCCAAATGAATAAGCTTTCTTCAATCCAGCAACTGCAAAAAAAAATATAATGAAATAATTAGTATTGTAATCACGTCTGTACAGTCTCTAGAACAAATATCGGGGAATCAATATATATGCTAAATAGATACATTGATTTCAAAAAGCTCGAATTTTCTTTCAATTTAATTTTTAATAAGAACACAAAAAAAAAACTATAGCAAGATTATTATCAGCTAGTGTTGAAAAATGTTTAAATTTTACTAAGGAAAAACTATATTTCGCTTTACAAGCAGAAGTTACATGGACATCCAACAATATTTTTAAAGAAAACTTTGCAAGGCTAATAAGCTTTTAATTGAAATAGAACAAAATTCTTACTAATTATTATC